GTGTTCTAAGGTATTTTGGGTGGTTGCTAGGGTGTTGCTAGGGTGTTCTAAGGTATTTTGGGTGGTTGCTAGGGTGTTGCTAGGGTGTTCTAAGGTATTTTTGGTGGTTGCTAGGGTGTTCTGGGTGGTTGCTAGGGTGTTCTAAGGTATTTTGGGTGGTTGCTAGGGTGTTCTGGGTGGTTGCTATGGTGTTGCTATGGTGTTCTAAGGTATTTTGGGTGGTTGCTAGGGTGTTGCTAGGATGTTCTGATGTATTTCGGGTGGTTGCTAGGGTGTTGCTAGGGTGTTCTAAGGTATTTTGGGTGGTTGCTATGGTGTTGCTAGGGTGTTCTAAGGTATTTTGGGTGGTTGCTAGGGTGTTGCTAGGGTGTCATAAGGCATTTTGGGTGGTTGCTAGGGTGTTCTAAGGTATTTTGGGTGGTTGCTAGGGTGTTCTGGGTGGTTGCTAGGGTGTTCTAAGGTATATTATGTGGTTGCTAGGGTGTTCTAAGGTATTGTGGGTGGTTGCTATGGTGTTGCTAGGGTGTTCTAAGGTATTTCAGTTGGTTTCTAGGGTGTTCTGGGTGGTTGCTATGCAGTTGCTAGAGTGTTCTGGGTGTTTGCTATGGTGAACTATTTATGAGTTTAAAAGTTCATAAGTGTATGAATTCATGAGAGTTCATACGTGTATGAATTAATGCATTTATAAGTTCATGAGTTTATAAGTGTATGAATTTATGAGTTTAGAGTTTATAAGTTTAAATGAGTAAGAGTTCAGAGTTTATTAATTTATGAGTTTGAGTTCATAAGTGTATGAATTCATGAGTTTATAAGTGTATGAGTTTATAAGTGTACGAGTTTATGAGTTTAAAGTTTAAATTAGTTTGAAGTTTAAAGTTTAAATAAGTTTGAAGTTTAAAGTTTAAATAAGTTTGAAGTTTAAATTAGTTTGAAGTTTAAAGTTTAATTTAGTTTGAAGTTTAATTTAGTTTAAAGTAGATAGATAGATGGATAAGTGTCATAGATAGATGAGTTTATTAGTTTGAATGAGTCTCATTGGCTCATATAGTATATAGAATGGCAGTTTGATTCAGTCTAGGGTTTCAAGGGATTTACATTTGAATTTTTGACAGTTGGGGAGTTTGAAAATCTGAAGATTCCGCAATGTAAAGTCAATGGGAGTTTTTTCCGACTTTGATCGTCATTTTTAGGAAAACCGTAAGTCCGATCAGTTAGAAAAGATATAGCATACCGAGTCAGAACAGTTTGAGTGTCCGTGCCGAGTTTGGAGTATGTGGAGTTAAAGCTCTAGGAGGAGTAGCAGTTGTAAATTTTGAGTAAGAAGAATAATAATAATAATAATAATAATAAGTTTAAATACAACATCAGTAAGTTGGCTCTCACAAGCCAACTTAATAAATGTGTTCAGATTCGATGCGTGCTCCTGTGCGCGTGCATGCGTATATGAGTGATTCAAATTTTAGTTGCTATAGCGACGCGTGTTATGAATTCTGAATGCATATTTACACTTGAACCGATCGCTGTCTGTTGGTTGAGAGAGACGAGGCGAATTCACAGACTTTTGCAGAATATTTTCTGAGCGAATCTTGTGACTTTGAAGCTGATTTCTGAGAGGAGACTTTTATTCTAGAAGGACAGCGGAGAATATATCCTCTATATATTTTTTAAAGTTATATAATACTTTTATTATTATATAATACTTAGTTAAAGAATACTTTTATTTTATACTTTTCTTATTGTAGAAGGAGTTGTATTACATTTTTTTATTTTAGGAGATTAGTATTTTATTGTATTGTATTTTGTGCTGTATTTTGTGTTGTGTTTATTGCAGTTTGGAGGAGGATGTCGATGGCTCACATGATGGGTGAAAGAGGAGGTGAGTGCTTTAGTTTTTCATTTATGGTTTATGGTGTGATTTTGTACAATGACTGACTACATTGAGGGATCAAACGGGTTCTTCACATTAATCTAATCACATGTATTTGATTCCTTGCATGTGAAATTTGAGTAACCGAAGTAACAATTTGTAATTGACCACTGACATTGATTATTATTATTAAACATTACTAACTACAGTATGTGATGTGTGAAATATTCCAGCCTCAGGCCGCTCCAGATCCAGGAGAGCTGCTTTCTCTCAGACGGCTGGTCAGGAGGTTTGGAGACCCGGTTCTGATGACCGTGATCAGGATCCGCTGCCAGACCCGACCCAGACACAGAGCCAGGATCTTCCTGGATATTTAACACCTCTGTCTTCTGAGTCTGTTTCTGTGTCCACAGGTCAGGCTGACAGGAGGAGGACGAGGAAGAGCGGCAGCCAGAAGAGCCCGGATGATGGACGTCCGTTCACTTCATCTAAACACTCTCGCAGAGGTCAGAATAGGCTTTAATAAAGAAGTTATGGCTCAGTTTCTAGTTCTATTTTCAATGGCTGATTTGTCATTGAAATAAGTTGAACCAACTAAAGTAACAATTTGGTGTGACCACTGACATTGATTATTCATATTATATAGCCTATATATAAAAAAGAAACAGTTTTTGATGTGTGAAATTTTCCAGCCTCAGGCCGCTCCAGATCCTGGAGAACTGCTTCCACTGATTGTTCTCCGGGCATCATGTCATCATCAGCTTTGTCCCTCTCTGAGGTCAATGTGGAGCGCTGGTTCTGTAGAGAGTCGTTGAGTCTGAGCAGCAGAGGCTCGTACAGCGTGGAATGGAGGAGGAGTGGCGATGGATCGGAGAGCCCAAACCAACAGGACAGTTGCAGCGACTGCTGTTTGTCCAGGTCCCACAGCCTGGAAGGGTTGCTGTGCCCTCCGCTGCCCGGGCAAGTTCCTGTCGAGCCAACAGAGACTTCAAATGGCCGAACTGCTCAGGGTGCCATGGAGGCTTCTCCTGTGAACAAGAGCTCAACAGGTGAGGCTGAAATAAGGCTGGGCAGAGTCAAGTCTACAGAGACATTTGGCTTTTTCATGCAAATATTTCAGTTTTTAACATGTTAATGTCCGGTCACATTTACTGTTGCTCAGCAAAATTTATCTGAATTAAAAAAAAAGAATTATTAATATTTTAATTGGACATTCGTCTAACATTTTCAGAACATTCAAAAGTAATTTTCCCATAATGCAAATTATAAAATAGAGTTCCTTTAACCAAGAAAAAAATGTTTTTAACCAGTTGAAAAAACATTTTTTGAAATAACATTTTCACAATTTAATGGAAATGTTAGCAAAACGTTCTCAATAAGCGATGAACTCGATGGTACTCGCTCTGTCTGACACACACCAGAAACACGCGCACAGAAAGCCGCTTCTCAGCAAACGATCCAGAATAGAATTATATTTCTATTGCTCTTGAATTGTCAAATACACGCAAAATTGTCAAAATGGCTGTCGTGCCGAGTATTACAGAGTCGGTTATTATATAAATAAGACACTGCTATGCATTTAATAAAATTCAATGTTTAATCTAATGTAAATATAGTTTAAGATATGGCCCATATGATCTTTGCCATTACCAGAACTGATCCACATGTGCCAGAGTTGAGCAAATGAAGCCTGGAAATGGATGTTTTGTTTTCAATAAAAGATCAGATAAAATAAGAAAAATAACTATATCGTGATAATTGTGAAATGAAATGACTATTAATATCGTGAAATAAGATTTTGGGAAATGTATGCAGGCATTAAGCAGAAGTCAGGCGGGTAGCGTGGGAATATTTCATTACTTTGGATCTGTTACATTACAGATAAGAATTTAACAGTGAAATGTAAATGATGTCATTATTGCTTAATTTGACGTCAGAGATCATGTTTCTAATAGTTGTGTTTTCAATTGTTTTTTCTTGATTTCAGACAAAGCTACAGAATCTAGGAAGAACGGAACGGGTTGTTTCCTCTACAGGCTCTGGAAGGCTGTGAAGTGTGTTTTCTGCTGCTGTTGCCACTGTAGTGCTGTGAATGTTGTGGAGCCTTTTGTTCCTCCAGCAGATCTGGAGCCAGAGCCTGATCCTGATCCATCATCTCCTGCTCCTGATCACTCCGGCGTCAAGACAAATAATGGTACATCGCCACTCATTATTCTCCAGCATTATTCTAAACAGTATTATCTTGTTTTCCACTAAAAATAAGGCTTGTTTTCAGAGAACATTAAGATTATTTCCCCCATTATAATATTATTATCTAGCAAATTAATATTTTTCTGTTTGTTTTTCAGAGTCCTTTGAGTCTCTCTATAGCGTAATAAAGATGATTGGATCCGGAGGATTTGGCAGGGTGTACCAGGGAACACGCAAATTTGATGGCAAAAAGGTCAATCTTACCGAATTGTACAAACATTTTGCTCTTGCATGCATCAAAACATATTTAAAACAATTCACAGATGGTTTAATACTTAGTGCTTGAAAACTGTTATTGAAACTGGGTTGTTTTTTTTGCAGGTTGCCATCAAGCGGATTCGCAAGATTGACAACAATCGTTATCTTAATATTGTAAGTTGGCCAAAAGCTGAATATATATATTTGAGTTGTTTAAGTGCAGATTACTATTGGATAAGATTACTTATCTAAAAAGATCAAAGAAAAGTACATTTAAAAATGATGCGTTTTCTTCAGATTTTTACCCTGCTAACCTTCCGTCTGCTACTTTTCTCTAGCCTGGGCATCCCGAACCTCTCGTTACAGAAGTGGCGCTGCTGATGATGATGAGGCGAGAACCCATAAGCCCCTTCGTCATACAACTATACGAGTGGTTTGAACATCCTAAAGAATTCACTCTGGTTATGGAGTATCCTGAACCCTACGATATCTTGCTGGACTTCATCACTCGTAATCATCAAATGCATGAACCAACAGCACGGTTCATCATGCGACAGGCTGTGCTGGCAGTGCAACACTGCATCCATCATGGGGTTTTCCACAATGACATCCATGCGCAGAATTTCCTGTTGAAGAGAGACCCGGTACAGCTCAAGCTGATAGACTTTGGCTGCGGTCAGCTGTCTAGTAGAGATGGCTACGAGAGCAACATTTACATTGGTGAGCATTCTGGGAGTGTGGAAACCTGAATGTAGTGACTTACTAATTATTTGATGTTTACAAAAAAAAGCTCAACAAAGTGCAAATGTGTTGCTTACAGGAGCACCGGATTACTGCCCACCTGAAGTCTTGACAGAACCTCGATTCCACGCCGTCCCAGCAAATGTCTGGTCTCTAGGAGTGTTGTTGTACAAGATGATGAACGGATGTTCTCCTTTTCGCAATAGAAGAAAAATCACACAAGCCAAAGTTACATTTCTGAACCCCACCTTATCCAAAAGTGAGTGAATAATATTGATACATTGATAAACACACACATAAAGCAAAGGCGTTGTACAGAAACAGTTAAAGGTGAAGTATGTAAGCTTTTTTATATATAGCTCAACGTATAGTAGAGTTTGGGGCGTCGCTACTGTAGCAGGCGGAGCCATGGGAAAAGAAATGCAGCTTTAGTTACAGAAGTGAAAGCCAAAATTCACTGCATTTATACCTTCAAAGATTAAACAGGTCATGAACACGTCAAAGTGAACAGAGCATTGTGATGCTACGCGCTACAAAGCACGCTTCAATACCATACAGCATCATCATGCACCCGTTCAGAAAGACACATTTTCATAAAGACAAATGCAACACAGCTAAAAGTATTCCTAATATGTTGGACCTGAAACATGAACCAGTAAGAGCTGCGTTTGTGATGTTTAAGTCGGGGAAGACGCGATGCACGGAAGGGGCCTTTGCAAGGTTTTTTGAAAATATGCTTTATTTTGTCATTTATTCCTCTCGCTGCCACTAGTGTCGCAGAAACGACATACTTCACTTTTAAAGTAAAGATAAGTCACATTTTGCAGTGTATTAATCATGTTTTAGATGCTGTTTTCATAGATGCCAGGTCACATGGTCATGACTAACCAGCTCTCTCCTTATTCAAATTTGTACAGAATGCAGGGATCTGATTAGCCAGTGTCTAGCCCGGGATCCAACTAAACGCCCGACGTTAGAGCAGATGTTACAACATAAATGGATTAGTAATGATCTACAGTAGATTGGAGAAGTTCAGGAGATTCACTCGATCAGTTTCAGGTGTGAGGAAGTGTAACAGAGAGCAGGATTATTACCTTTTGTCTTCAATTCTGGATTATTTGTAGTGAGATTTTCAAATTTGTGTTCATTGTAATGTTCTTGCTATAGTCAAGTCACCTTCATTTATATAGCGCTTTATACAATACAGTTTGTTTCAAAGCGGCTTCACGGTAATAAACAGGAGAATAACAGAATCAGTGATGCAAACAGAATTAAATTCTGTTCTAAATCAGCTCTAAAAAATCATTCATGAGTTGACTTATTCATATAATCTTTGTATTGGATAGGAAATGACATACTTGCTGAGAGCTCTGAGCTCGAGACTCGACCCGAAGCCTGAAGTCCAACTCCATCCTGACAGGAACTCAGAGTCTGTCCACGTCTGAGCAAGAACACGAGAGACTGCAAGACTGGAACGAAGTCATCAAGTCATCACACACACATTTGCTTTGTTTTAAAGGTCAAGACAAGTCATCTTCTACAAACATTTGTGAAAGAATGTGTCGCTCTCAGGAGCTCAGTGAATTCAAGTGTGGTACCGTGATAGGTTGCCAACTATTCATGAAATTTCCTCACTATTAAATATTCCACGGTCAACTGTTAGTGGTATTATAACAAAGTGGAAGCAATTGGGAACAACAGCAACTTAGCCTCGAAGTGGTAGGCCACGTAAAATCACAGAGCGTGGTCAGTGCATGCTGAGGCGCACAGAAGTCGACAACTTTCTGCAGTCAATAGCTACAGACCTCCAAACTTAAGAAAAAGATTAATATTTTAACGCATTTTTGTATTGTTTAATTTGTTTTGTTTTTTATTGTATTTTGTTTAATGCGTTTATATTTTGTACGCTGCATGGTTTCTTTTTATGCTTCCTTTTTATATGCTCAATGTTTTATTGTACAGCACAGTGTGCATCTCTGTTGCTTTTAAATGTGCTATAGAAATACATTTTGACTTGACTTTAATTTGTGTCATTGATTCATTTTAGATGCTCACGAATAGAGAGAGTTGAAAGGCACTGTAAAATGCCAAAAAGTAAATGCAGACCCAGTACTTTTAAAGCCCATTCACACCAAGAACAATAACTATAATTGTAACTCTATTAGCGTCCACACCAATGACCGATAACACTGTTCATTCTAAGGATTTACTGCAGTTTTGTCGTCTGCCACTTTAAATGCTGGAGCTCTGTCAAGTGGAATGGATTCTGATTGGCTGTCAATGTTTTTATTGTTCATTAGCTGGAAAAAAATCTGAAAGTTATTCCAAGATATTGTTTCTCTGTGCGTTATAGTTGTGGTGGGGACTCTGCTCTTCTTTTTAGATTTAGAATGATTTTTTAAAAAATAAATCTTTATCATTATAGTTATCATACTAGGTGTGAACGGGCCTTTAGCACGGTAAAAAGAAAGGTATTCAGGATTGCAATTTGTCAGAATACCGATATGAGAAACAGAGAGTTCCTCCTCACTACACGTGTCACAAGTTCAAAAGAGACTATTGAGAGGATTCTCCATCCTGATAACGTCATTTATGTTGACAAACAAAAAGTATTAATACATATAGCTGCAAGAAGTAATTTTTGGGGCAGAGCATGTCAAAACCAAAGTGACAGGCTAAGCAAGCATGGCAGGGAGCTTGCTGACAAATGGGCAAAACCATAGACTGTAAAAAAAGATGGACGACGCCTGTAATGGCTTCCTTGCCTTCTTAAGCCATTTCCATGAGGGAAAGTATGTTTGACGCTACACCTGTTTTAACAAGACTTGAGCTTTATTGTAACAAAAAGGTGAAAACTTAAAAACAAAACTCTGTGCTCCAAAACAAGCAGTGTGATGTAATGTAGGTCAAAAAACTGTCTCCCTTCCCCTCCCCTTGCCACATCACTTCCTGCTTAAGATGGCTACCTTCAGGAAGTCCCCAAAAGGGGTGCAATTCTTTCCCTTTACCCCCGGGGGGAGTTCAGACAGTAGTTACATATAGCCATAACATTAAGTAACATTATTAATAGCCTTATGGTTTCTACATTCCGGCCCCTTAATTGACGATAACAAGGCAATTATATAAAATATACATATATTGAGGAGCCATATAAAGACATATTTACAATGTACTTCAAGATTTTTTAAATCTGTTCATGCACAAAAAAGTGTCCGAAATAGTCCAATGGAAAAAAAAGAAAAAAAAGGTTCAAAAATATGTCCAAAAAATATTAGTCAAAAGTGGTGATCAAGAGAGCATGTCAACTCTGCAAGTAACTGAAGTTACTATTAGGGTTACTCTTGAAGAAGACATAGTTTGTTAATAGGTCTTTCCAGTGTGTTGGACTTTGTTTTGACCAAGACACGACGAACGTGTCCTCTTTTGTCAGGCAAGGTCTTTGTGATCCGTCCCATAGGCCAAGAGTTTCTGGGTGATGTATCGTCCACTATAAGAACTATGTCCCCTGGCTTAAGATTTTTTCGCACTTCATGCCATTTCTGCCTCTCTTGCATCAGTGGCAGGTACTCTCTTGTCCATCTCTTCCAAAATAAATCACTGATATACTGGACTTGTCTCCATCTCCGTCTTGAATACAAGTCGTTTTTTATGAACAATCCAGGAGGCAGAATCGGTTTTCCTTTCTGCAGTAGAAGATGATTAGGTGTAAGAGGCTCGGGATCGGTGATATCATCGGATATGGTGGTAATAGGGCGATCGTTGACTATAGCCTCTACCTCGCAAAGTGCTGTCTGTAGTCCCTCTTCATCTAAGGCTTGTTGTTTTAGGACGGAATACAGAGACCTCTTAATGATGCGGACAAGCCTTTCCCATACGCCTCCATGATGAGCTCCTGAGGGAGGATTAAAACTCCATTTGATTCCCTCGTTTAGCATTGCACGCTTGATCTTGCTGTTATCCAGCTGAGCGAGACAATCTCTAAGCTCTCGTTCGGCTCCTACATAATTAGTTCCATTGTCTGATATCATTTCTTGAACTTGACCTCTTCTACATATGAACCTTCTCAAGGCCAAAATGCAGGAATCTGTATCCAATGAATAGGCCATTTCTAGATGGATTGCTCTGCTGGCCAAGCATGTAAATAAGACACCGTATCTCTTTACCAGGCTCCGGCCCCTTTTTACCTCGACTGGACCAAAATAATCTGTACCTACGCATGTAAATGGAGGGGAGTCACAAGCTAGACGACTTAGAGGTAGAGGTTTGCTCCATTACCGGTGCGTTCCAACGTCTGCATGGCAGGCAGTTCCTGACTAGCTTCCGAGCAGCGGAATTCGCATGAACTATCCAGTATCTCTGGCGCAGCTTTGAGAGTATCTGATTTTTTCCACAATGACCTGCCGATTGATGAATGTGATCTAAAAGTAATGTGGACAGATAACTGTTTTTTGGCAAAATGACTTGATGCTTCAAATCTTCAGGCATTGACATTTTGTGTAGCCTCCCTTGTAGATACTGCTAGTTTTCTTAACAGTATGTCCTTTTGTCAGAGACGTCATTTCCGATTGAAATGTCTGTTGCTGAACAAAGCCTATTAACGCCTTCTCTGCTTGTTTAAGATCGTCCACTGAAAGCTCTTTCTCTCCGAATTGAGTTTTGCTCTCAGCTCTCCTGTCATTGGACCTGGCTGAATAAGGATCAGTGCTTTGTAGATGAAGAATTGAGTGAGCATTCTTTTGTTTTTGGCTCATCATCCGGAGCATCCTTTTAAATTTCAGGATCCATGCAGTAGCCCTTTTGAGGCTATTCCAAGAAGAGAAGTGCTCGATTAATTTGTTAACAGTATCAGAGCCTCCTGTTAAAACTATAGTGAAAGCTATAGCCCTTTTCACTATCTCGGAGTCGTCACAAGATATGGTCATTTGCTCCTCCGGAAAGCAAGGCCAGTTTGATTCAGGTAGTGAAAGGAATTCTGGACCGTTCCACCATCTTTCTGAACCAAGAAAGGAATCGATCGATAGGCCGCGTGATGCCGCATCTGCAGGGTTCAGTGAGCCATTCACATAATGCCACTGAGATTTCTCGGACAGATCACGTATTTTGCAGACCCTATTTGCAACGTATGTTTTGAATCGTGTTGTGTCATTAAAGATGTATTTTAAGACAGATGTGCTATCTGTCCAAAAAACGGATTTTGTGAGTGGAATTTCCATTTCTCTTTTGAGCATCCTATCAACACATGTAGCAAGGACAGCAGCTGCCAACTCAAGCCTGGGAATAGTTACAGGTTTTAATGGAGAAACTCTGGCCTTGCCCAATACAAAGGCAACATGAACATCACCACTGATGTTGGTAAGGCGCAGGTAACTAGCAATACCATACCCTGATTCACTCGCATCACTAAAGTGATGTAGCTGGGCAGTTTTTATTTTGCCGTAACTTGCTGGTTTAAAACATCTGCGAATACTTAGGTGGTTAAGTTTGTCCAAACCCTCAAGCCATTCCTCCCAGTATTTTGTTAAATTGTCTGGAATCTTATCGTCCCAACCACAGCTGACTTTGCAAAGTTCCTGTTGGATTCTTTTTGCAGGAAGAATCAATGGGGCGAGAAATCCAATTGGATCGTAGATGGAATTCACAGTAGAAAGAATAGTCCTCTTGGTAGACTGTTGCTCCTTTAAGTTAACCTTGAAGAAAAAGGAGTCTGTTTCAGTGCTCCACTGAATTCCTAGAGCTCTTTCCACAGGGAGTTTGTCAATATCAAGATCTAAAGCCTTCACATCATTGGCCTTCTCCTCTACTGGAATTGAAGCTAGGACAGAGCGACTATTACTTGTCCACTTTGTCAGTCTAAATCCACCGGTGGCGCAGACCGCTCTCAAGTCTCGAATCAGGGCAATAGCTGCATCCTCATTGGGTAAGGAAGTTAGGCAGTCGTCAACATAGAAGTTCCTTCGAATGGTACTAAGAAGCTCTTTACCAATGCTGCTCTCATTGTCCTCTGCCGTTTTCTTGAGTGCATAGTTTGCACAACTAGGTGAAGAGACGGCACCGAAGAGGTGAACTTACATCCGATACTCTGCCAATGGTTGGCTAATGTCACCGTTAGGCCACCATAAGAACCGCAGAAAGTCAACATCCTCAGGTGTGACCTTAACTTGATGAAACATTCCTTCGATATCCGCCATGACTGCCACGGGTTCTTGACGGAATCGAAGGATAACTCCGAGGAGACTGTTTGAGAGATCAGGTCCCTGAAGAAGCTCTTTATTTAAGGATGTGCCTTGAAATGAAGATCCGCAATCAAATACAACCCTAATTTTCTTTTTCCTCTTGTGGTACACGCTGTGATGGGGTATGTACCATACTCTTCCGAATTTTCCTGACAGCTGATCTAGTGTCAACTTTTCGGCATACCCTTTCTCCAAGAGGTTACCCATAAATTCCTTATAATCAGTCAATAACGTGTCATCCCTTTGGAATCTCTTCATGAGGGTATTAGCTCTCTGTTCAGCTATTGTTCTATTATTAGGTAGGTGAACCTCCTCTTGACGGAATGAAAGTCTAAGTTGATAGTGACCATCTTGTTTAACAACAGAGTCTGCCGCAATTTTGAGGAACATCCTGTCCTCGGCTGAATACTCAGGCTTCTCATCAT